ATGGGATATTGCTTCCCTGTGGATGAAACAACCAACCAACCATCTACACTATTGGTAATCCTTTTGGGGAAAGCCTGGTCTGATTGGGAGAGACGGCATCCATCCCACTCTGGATGGTGCAGCTCTTCTTTCTAGGAATCTGGCCTCATTTATTAGTCCTCCAAAACCCTGAACCCCCAGGGTGCAGACCAGGAAGCAGTCCTAGTTTAACAGACCTCTCTGCAGCTTCTCTACTGTTACCCACTCTTTACTCCATCCAGACAGTGTCTTGCCCACGACCAAAATCTAATAAATTAAAAAAGGAGTTGATCATCATAATATAATTCAAGTTAGAATAACCGCGGTGGCGGTGTCCACCACCCGCCTCTGGGATTAACGCTGTGATGAGCAGCGCAGACCAAAGGCCACATCGCTAACGGAGGCAGAGAACATGGTCAGCCTCCCCTGAATCTGAGAGAAGCTCTGGGCTCAGCTCAGATCAGGGGGGTCAGACTGGTTCCAGAAAGGGCCGCTGCTGGTTTTCTTTCCACCCGAGCAGTAGAACCAGACTCTGTTCATCCCATCAGGTCATCAGGTTAAGACTAGACTCACCTTGATGGGATGAATGGAGTCTGGTTCTACTGCTTGGATGGAAGGAAAACCAGCAGCGGCCCTTTCTGGAACCAGTTTGACACCTGTGGCTTAGATCATAGATGATAATGGGGCCTGATTTTCAGTGTTTAGTCCTGTTTCTCTCCTATAGCTATGGACGCAGCTTGCAGCTGGTCTCATTAACTGTTTCTTTCCCAGACAGAGCCGCCTGTGGAGCTGGTTTACTGTTAGTTTTTACGTAGAAAGTGTTTCTAGATATTGATTAAATCAGAATAATCAGAATAAAGTGAACCGGATCCTTCAGGACCACAGAACCGAACATGGAGCAGTGATGTAAACCTTCTGCTCCCATAGCTTCAGTTTAGCAAATGGGAACAGAACTTCTGGCTGCTGTTCTGATCCACTCTCCATGTGACCTTTGCCCTTTTTGTTAGAAGTAGGGATTAGTTGTCATCCCAATCCCAACAGGATTATTACAGATTATTATATCATTCTTTAACTTCTATTCAGTGATTTTCCTCCTCACCAAATGATCATTTCCTGGTCCAACACGTTTTTCTTTGCGGGGGGGGATTAATTAATCTGTGATCAGCAGTGTCCTCTTAACAGGATTGCTTACTGCTGGCTCAGTCAGCTGCTCCTCTTCATCCCGCCTCAGCATCGCTTCTGACAGGAGAACCACCAGATCAACGAGTGTGGCTCAATCATTATAATGATCTTTATCGATCTCACATCGGAGAGATGAACCCCTCCCCTTGGGGAGCAGTGTGGGGCTAAGGGTCTTGTTCAGGGACCCAGAGTGTGCCTTAAAGGAGAATTCCGGTTTTTAACACTTTTAGCCCATTTTCTGTAGTGTCCAGGATGAAATCGAATGATCGACACCAAAATTTTGACAATTGGTCCTGTCTCTGCTATTTGGCTCATTTAGAATCCCCCCCTGGCTGCTTCAGAATGGCTAGCATAGAGCATGTCTGATAATGTCCTTAAAACGACCTTAAACGTTCTTTTTTTAAAATATGCTACTCACCGGGTCGTCAGCGCTGTTCAATGACGTTCCAAAAAAAGTTTCGTAAAGAAAAAACGTTCCTGTAGTGTTTTATTTAGCATTTTGTAAATCCCATTGAGTTCTGTAGGAATAGTCAATATTCCGCTGCCACCGGAAACGGAAATGGGGCCTGTTTACACAGTTGTAGTCTTTTCGCTTCACTCTGTGTACTCCGACGTCGAGGTGCTAACGTCTCTGTTAAACACTTTAAAAAACTCTGAAAATGGAATACGAAAGGTGGATTCTTGAGGAGGACATATTCATATACATTCCCAAAGTATAGAGACATTGTCGCCAACTAGTGGTCTGGAGTGTGCAACGCTTCAGATTCGAACGGGAAGCGGAAGTTTATAAGCGGTTGTGATGTATCGGAAAAAATAGTTCTGGGATTTACAAAATGCTAAATAAAACAAGACAGGAACGTTTTTTCTTCACGAAACTTTTTTTGGAACGTCATTGAACAGCGCTGACGACCCGGTGAGTAGCATATTTTAAAAAAAGAACGTTTAAGGTTGTTTTAAGGACATTATCGGACATGCACTATGGAAGCCATTCTGAAGCAGCCAGGGGGGGATTCTGCATGAGCCAAAAAGCAGAGACAGGAGCAATCGTCAAAATTTTGGTGTCGATCATTCGATTTCATCCTGGACACTACAGAAAATGGGCTAAAAGTGTTAAAAACCGGAATTATCCTTTAACAACTAGGCCCCCCCTCCCCCACAATATGAACATTATTGGTGAATATTTCAGTGTTTCAGTGACTGTGACTCATCTAAGGCTGAAACTCACTATTATTCTGTCATTATTTTCCTATTAATAATCTGATAGCAAAGAATCAAACCAGGTGAAACCGTTCTGCATAGAGCATCCTGACATATTTCTATAAATCTGGTTAATTTCCTGCTCTGTCAGTCTGTCGTGTTTTAGAGTCTCTAGGCTGCAGTTAACGATGGATCGATTATTAAATTAGCAGACAGTTATTTCAATGATCAGTTTAATTGTTTTAGCCTAAACTCACCTGAAGTGAAGGACTGGAGGCTTCCAGCTCTGACTGTCTGGATCAATCTAGGTGTTAAAGAGACACTGCAGCTGATTGGCTCAGCCGGATGATGACATCATAACCCCAGCTTCCTGCCTCTATCAGACAGAAATGGAGCGGGACCACCGGGTTCGAATGGGAGTTGGGAACGGGCTGCGTCAGGACGTCTGGCGGGAGTTCCTCAGCCGGTTTGGAGACATAAAGATGTGTGAGGTCTACGGCTCCACGGAGGGAAACCTGTGCTTCATGAACCACGTCGGCCGGATCGGAGTGGTGGGGCGCTCCAACTTCTTCTACAGGGTAAGAGGACGGGCCGCTCTGAGGGGAGGGTTGAAGGTTCGGTCAGACCCACTTCCAGAACGTCTCAGTTATTATCTGTGTGAGCAGATGTTCTCTGGAGACCGCCGTGACTAAAGGTTCTCCCTCAGAAATGTTCAGCAGGTCAGATGTTCTAGATGTTCATTTATTAGAGCATGGAAGGAAGTCATGAGATCTCAATACGCGACACCAAATATCAGCTGGAGGCTTAAAGTTCATCTGGCTCCTGAGGTTAGGACCTGGGGGGGGGGGGGTCAGAGCCTCAGACAGACAGAGACTCACTTTAATGTGATCCTAAACATTTTGGTGGAGAAGATGTGAAGAAGCAAAGGGAAGAATGATTCCAGCCTTCTGTGGATAAATCAGTGCAGTCAGCCTTTCATCATGGAGTTGAACATGAATGAATCCTGTCTCACCATGTCCTCACGGTAAAAGGCTCCCTGCTGCTCATTCACCTAAATCACGGCTGATCTCACAGAGACACCAGATGATTGATCATCTTTCTAACTTCAGTCTCTCTCCTGACCCTGGATTCACACAGCTGATGGTTTCTGGGGTCAGAGCAGGAATAGGCAGTGAAGCTTTCAGCTGGGAACCTTCATGGACCAGTTTACACTCAGACCTTCACCTCTAGTGTCTCAGAATGTAGAAAGGCTCATGGTCCATCACAGGCTCTCCGTCTCTCTATGCAGACCATCTGCTTCTTTGCATAGCTGAGCCCTTCCATTACATCTTAGCTTTAGCTTGCTGCCTGGATATAAACTCACCTTTTCCAAGTGTCCTATTCCCATTCAGCCTGAGATCTTCAACCATGATGACTTTCCTTTTGAACCAGAACCAAACGTAGGTTTCTTGGTGATGTTGCTCCTTCTTGTCGCTGTGCTCCCTTATCTTCAGCTTCAGCTCCATAAAACCTGCAACATAGACACTGGTTCTAATGGTTTGGGTTCTATAAACCACCTCAGCAGATCTGAAATAAAATAAATGAGATGTTTCACCTGCAGAATTTCAGCTCTAATTTGAGAATATCTACATCAGATGGGATGGCAGGGGAAGGAACGACAACTGTTGGTAAAAGTTCCTCCAACTTTTTAAGGGACCAAAACTTTAGTGACAAATTAAAACAAAAAAATGAAATTTAATCCTTGGTTTAAATCCTTTGCAGTCGATAACAGCCTGGAGTCAGGAACACGGGAGAAGACTGCGTGTTTGATCTCTGCATGTGCACTGCCAGGCCTCTGGTCCTCTGCTGATGCACTGCCAGG